GAAAATTTTAGAAATAAATTCCATTTTAAAATGTATTCAAATAGAAAACAGTTATTTTAAATTATTTCAAAATATAACTGTTTTTACTGAATTTTCGATCAAATAAATGCAGCCTTGTGTGACAGGGTTTGTAGAGTTTGAGGGATTTGTCTTATAACATGATGTTTCTCAATCTCTTAAAATCGATTGCTCCCCTTTGTCTATGTTTGATGTTTAATATACTTGAGGAACGGGATTTTGGTCCTGTGAGCACCCTTAAGATGGCAATATGTTGAAAGAAAATGAGAAAGTCTGACAGAGTTAGTGATATTTTCAACCTGTGTGCCAGCGCAAGAGAAAGAGACACTGAGAGATCAGTTAATTTTACACTGTGATTAGACTTGATGAAGTGTTCACCACTCTCAGGGGTCTCTGTGTAGTTAACACAATCACTAGAGGCCCAGAGCTCTCCACCTGTAATAAGCCAGTTTAATCGATATTGAAGTACTATCTGATGGCTTACAATGAGAACAGAGCGGCCAAACACTTCTACTCGGTGATCAACTTTTCAGAGAAGCCCATCAGAGACTCGCCATCCACCTGAACGGCTGCAAATGGCACTGAGATGGAAACATTTCTGTAGATTGAGACGCATCCTGGGGAGATTTTTCACACTTTCTGATGACTAGCATTGTAGGCTAATTACAGTACCAACACTATATTAACTTTACAGTAGCTCAACTCTTTTCATAGTAATGTAATTTTAGCAGTTCAGTTTGTTTCAGCTTTTTTCTTTTTTTACACCTCATTGAATCGTAAAATGCGAGCAACCAGAAGTCATTTGTTTTTAATGAAACCTGATCCAGAGAGACAGAGATGAGCTTTCATTGGCAGAGGTAGAAAATCTAGGGCCAGATTTACTAACAGCTTGTGCCAGCCGTGGACACAGTCATTTTATTGCGCCTGACCTTATTGAATATGCATTTCTAGGAGTTTCCCTTTCAGACGCAAAATTTATGGAAGGAGAGTATAAAAATGAATCACACAACGCGATTTACTAACATTTGCGCTTGTCAAATTACTGGTACTTGCGCCATTATTCAACGCCCAAAAAGCATGTCTTAAAGCAGGCGGTAATTTGCGCTGCGCTTGGTAGATTGCGCTGGTCATTATGGAAATGTGATATTTTGAACCTGTGTGAGAGCATGAGAAAGCTCGGCTCATTGTAAACTGTGATTGGACTTGATGAAGTGTTCACCACTCTCAGGGGTCTCTGTGTAGTTAACACAATCACTAGAGGCCCAGAGCTCTCCACCTGTAATAAGCCAGTTTAATCGATATTGAAGTACTATCTGATGGCTTACAATGAGAACAGAGCGGCCAAACACTTCTACTCGGTGATCAACTTTTCAGAGAAGCCCATCAGAGACTCGCCATCCACCTGAACGGCTGCAAATGGCACTGAGATGGAAACATTTCTGTAGATTGAGACGCATCCTGGGGAGATTTTTCACACTTTCTGATGACTAGCATTGTAGGCTAATTACAGTACCAACACTATATTAACTTTACAGTAGCTCAACTCTTTTCATAGTAATGTAATTTTAGCAGTTCAGTTTGTTTCAGCTTTTTTCTTTTTTTACACCTCATTGAATCGTAAAATGCGAGCAACCAGAAGTCATTTGTTTTTAATGAAACCTGATCCAGAGAGACAGAGATGAGCTTTCATTGGCAGAGGTAGAAAATCTAGGGCCAGATTTACTAACAGCTTGTGCCAGCCGTGGACACAGTCATTTTATTGCGCCTGACCTTATTGAATATGCATTTCTAGGAGTTTCCCTTTCAGACGCAAAATTTATGGAAGGAGAGTATAAAAATGAATCACACAACGCGATTTACTAACATTTGCGCTTGTCAAATTACTGGTATTTGCGCCATTATTCAACGCCCAAAAAGCATGTCTTAAAGCAGGCGGTAATTTGCGCTGCGCTTGGTAGATTGCGCTGGTCATTATGGAAATGATCTGGCTGCGTCTGTGTTCTTTAATGTGCGCATTGTCAGTAAATGACACACAGAATTTTCCCCTCCCATCTGCGCTTTTATGGAACTGAACTCTAACGCTAATTTGCCCTGTTTAGTGAATCTGGCCCCTAATGTGTGAACTAGTCCAGTTTGTCCAGTTCTTGGTTTACAAAAAACAAAAAAACAAACAGGTTTTAAAAATTAAATGAAAAGATCCAAGTCCCCTGTATTTTAGGTTTACGTTTTAATATTTTGTTAAATGCTGGATTTTCTTTTATTTCAATTCATAATATGTATTGTATTATGATGTTGTCACGCCCCTGGACTACCCCTGTGTTCCGAGTCTTGTGTTTTGCTCCCCATGTGTTCCCCATTACCTTGTTTCTCCCTTGTTTATTGAATTCAGGTGTTTCTCATTGATTTCCTCATTTAGTCCAAGTATTTAAGTCCTGTGTCCAGTCTAAACGTCTACTCTGTTTGCTACGTGTGTGTTCCCTGTCATTTTGGTTTCATTAAAGACTACTATTGTTCTGGATCTCCTTCGTCTCCTCGTTCCTACACAGCAGCATCACCGTGACAGATGTATTGTAATGTTTTTGTTTTATGTAGTGTAAAAAAATTAAGAATTTTTTTTTCAAAAATACATTTGATCGAAAATACAGTAAAAACTCTATATTGTAAACATGTATTGCAATTTAATATATTACAATTGTAAAATATTTTTATTTAGTATTTATAAATAAAATATATTTTCTTTATCATTTTAGATATGTATTATTTTGTTTTCTTTCTTTCTTTCATTTTT